GGCGAGTGAGCTTAAGATTTGGGTGTGGGGAAGATGCTAAACTCTTCTTTCAGTATCTTGACTGGGAGCCTGCCCTATGGTTTTGTGTTTTAATTTCTGTTAAATTTGGGTGTGGGGAAGATGCTAAACACTTCTTTCAGTACCTTGACTGGGAGCTTGCCCTATGGTTTTGTGTTTTAATTTCTGTTCAAGTCATCTCATGGGGTTTCTGCTGTTACAAAGCCTCATCGCAGAACGGGGCTGGCTAGCAGAGATTTTTGGATGAGTTGATTTCTAAGACGTGTTCAGCCATTCCCTGCAGCACTTTGACAGGCCGTAGCCGCTGATGGGATTCAGGGACGTGTCTCTCAGTGATAACTGCAGAGAGCAACATGGAAAATACATTACTCCAGTGCACTTCAGGACATGGAAAAATAGCTTCAGTGTATGGCAGAGAGCAGCTCGTTTCTCTCTCCATGCATGAACAAATGTAAGAGAGGGATCTTTTCTGCAGCAGCCCAAGTGCACCCAAACTCTGTCCTCACCTGTACTGAGGCTGGTTAGGAAATTTCTCATCTTTCACACTGGTTTTTGGCTGCTGAAGCGGGATGCCTCCATTCCTGATGTACTGCTGAAGCTGTGGTGCTATTTTAATTTATCCTCTTGCTTGGTTGCTTGTCCTCTTGCTGTTTTATCAGGCACAGGACCAAGGTTTCCCTCTGGCCCTGGGTGCAGTGGCTTAGACCAGTCCCATGGAAACCGCTTTCCCTTTTTTTAATAGCTCTCGCAGACACATTTATCAATATTTCAGCCTCTGCTTTTGTGCCCTAGACTTTCTAAAAGGCTGAGGCCATGCGTTATGTGGAATTATTTATGGAACTGATGTCAGGAACAGCCCGATAATATCTGTGCCACTTTTCTGAGGGCTGCTTCGAAGTGACCCAGGGCCATGGCAACCCAATGGCCACCCCTGCTCCTTTCCCATCTCCTCAGCACCAGAGGAGGATCAGGAGTATCCAGCAACATTGTTATTGGGAATTTATCAATAAATTGATGATAAAAGACTGGCATTTCTCAGCTACTGGCAAATAACACCAAATAGCTGATGGTGGAGGCTCATTAGAGCAAGAGCCATTTGGTTCATAGCACTGGAGCGTATTGCACCCAGTTGGTAGATACACAGTAAAGTCTGAATTCCTATGGTCTGCCAGCTGGGAAATCTTCAATATTTCCATGATTTTTCACTGATTTATGCATCAATGGATTCAGCGTGCAGCCTTTTATTCACTTATTTAAGGTGGTAATGATTTATGCAGTAAAGGCTACGAGAGATCTTCTGGCGTAAGGAAGCAGAAATGGAAGAAAATTCTTAATTTCAAGTTAAAATGTGGCATTCATTATTCATTTTACTAAGGGCTGGTGGGATAGCGTTTTGTGTGCTGGTCAGTAAAACCAGAAAATCAGGGCTGCCTCTGGCTGTGTGGAGTTTCAAGCACGTGGGGTCGTGTTGGAAGGGTTGGGTTTATCCTATTTATTGGTTGTCTGGTGCCTCCGTGTCTGAAAATCTGAACGCTCTCCAACCTCCCCGCGCTTCCTGGCTGGTGGCGTCCTTGGTAATGTCTCCCAAATCTATATCCCAAGGTCAGAGGATGCAGTGAATTCAGAATTGATCCGTTTGAGGTGGTAGCGATCACCCGACAGCAAGCGGCAGGAGCTGCTTTTCCATGTCCCATTGCCCTCTAATGGCCAGTGCTGAATTTGCACAGCAAAGTGGACAATTCAGGGCTCGGAGAGGAACTACTCAAGAAATTGGGCTGTTGTGGTGGTCCAGTGTGTGCCTTATTTTCAGGAAGCCCCAAAAACTGTTCAGAGTAAAGGTTGGTTTGGGGGTGCAAAGAGCAAAAGGGTCGCTCTCTCTTGGTAGCATCAACCCTCAAAGATGGAGGGAGGGAAAAGAGAGGGAAGAGATTGAAAAGAAACAGAAAAAAAGCACCTTTTTTGTTTTTCCCTGGAGTAAAGGGAGATGGAGGAGTGGAGGGCTTATTCATGCACCCCAAAACTGGTGCTAAACTGCTTTGCTTTGGGGCTGGGAGCAAGACGAGGGTCCAGCACATGGCTCCTGCTGACTCAGTCAGTGGCAGCCCCCCGGTGCAATTGCTCTGTGCCCAAATCCCTCTCTGTCCCCCTATACGATGCCAGCAGGTGGGGTTGCTGCTCTGCTGTACTGTGTGTGAGGTAAATCACACTGAGAGACCCTGAACCAAGAGTAAGGGAGCAGCTGGACCCAGATTAAACTATTGCAACTGGGTGGAAAGTGTGAGAACACAGAGAGAAACCCATCTGCTGGTGCACAGCCCTGCTGGGACTGAGTGCTGAGGATGTCTTCAGGTTTTTTGGGTTCGTGTTGCTCTTGCAGTAGAGGCTTTTTAACAGTAGATGTCACGTTTGCATAAGGGAACAATAAATAGGGGGTACCTACAGACCTGTGTACGACTGTGCTCCACGGCAGGAGATATCGTCCCCCTGCCCTGTGGATGCTGGGGCCAATAAAGGCTGTAAATCATCACCTGCTACTGCTGTGTGCTCTTAGGGACCTTTTTCTTCGGTTTCAGCTGTAATTCAGTGCTGAGGATGGGTGCTTGGGCTCAGTACAGTAATTGCACTTTGTTCGGGTGCTGGGGCGCAGGCTCGGCTTGTTGAAAGGGCACAAGACTGGTTTTCTAAAGGACTTTGGCAGCTGAATCTTAGGTAATGAAGAAAAAGCAAGTCTCCAGCTTGCTCTGTGATCTCTGTATCCTTGGAAAATTCTTGGGTGCTCACAAAATGGAAAAGTGAGGTGGAAAAATTGTGATGTATTATCTTGTCAACCCTTCTTAGGAATTTAATTCAGCTCTGCTGGCTAACGCGGCAGGGTCTGGCAATACCTGTGAGTGATCTTTTTGGTCCAGATTGGGAATTTTAGGGATTTGGCCATTTTAGAAATGATCCCACTTTACACTGTTGATGTGTATTTTATGTGCAAATTACGATCTTTAAAAAATAAAACCACTACCTCCAGTGTAGACAGAATACTTCTAATACAGAAATCTTTGTAAATACATTAATTACAGGTCATAAAAAATACCTTCTGAATCCTTGCACCGTAGTCAAATACAGACAGACTAAATCCATTTCTGCCTTAAATAAATGATGATCCAAAGTGGAAGAAAGCGATGCCCTTCCAATAAAATCTATCCTAAACCAAAAACCTCACCTCGCTCTTCAAACTGCAGTCTTTTAATTCATCACATCTGTGTTGTGCAGAGCATGCAGTGTTTGAATGACAGCCTCAAAGCAAGCCTAGCCCAAAAGAAGAAATTGGGGGGTTTTAATATGCATAAGTATAAATGCATAATATAAATTTGCTGGCAATAACAAAGCTCTGCATTTGAAAAGTGCCTTATGGTTCTGTTAGGGATCTGAACAAGGTTATGTGGAGCAGGATTTTGGTGGGGTGAGCTGGCTCCCCAGCTTGAGGATGGGGGTTTTTAAAGTGCTGCTTGTCCATGAAGGTGAAGGTGAAGGTGAAGGTTGGTGTGCGCAGTGCTGGCCCGAGGCCCCAGCTCTGGTTTTGGGAGGTTGGGAGCCCTGTGGTCCCCTCGGGCAAAGCTGCTGTGCCCAAGGGCTGGAAACGACCTTCCCAAGCCACAGTGCAGTCGATTTGGATCTGTGTTCTGATCGGGATCCTGATCCAAACCCAAATCCAGCTCAGACTGGAACCTCTATAAAATCTTGAGCACTTTGGGTCCAGGCAATTTTCTTTCTCTCTTTTTTTTTTTTTTCCCCTTTTTCCTGGTAAAATCTTTATTCCTTGAAAAACACTTCTGTGTGCTTTAACTTAAAAACATTAATGCCAACCACACGCATACCATCAACGCCAACGGTAACAATACCATCGGTGCCAGCGTTATTAACAGCGATGCCAACAGCGCCGTGCAGATCCGTGCCAACAGAGTCAACAGCGCCGATGCCAACAGGCCAGGACGAATGAAGAACCCCTCAGTAAAAAACCAGTGTTTAAACCCTCCCGGTGAGACGGTGTCCCACAAAAACAACCCCCGTGCCCAGCCCGGTTCTCATTAGCAACTTTACAATAACACACCCCGCTGCAAGAGCAATTAAACGCAAACGCCGAGGTGTGTATATCCTGGAAGGGAGAAATAGGCGGATATTTCTGGAGCTGAGAGGCAAGTGAAATAAATGATTAAGGGTTTTGTTGACTCTGCTTTTCCAAATTTCTCAGTCCAAGTGCAACGGGGGCAGTTTGGAGCGGTTTGACCGCCGCGTGCTTCGCTTTTGAGCGCATCTCCAGTTCTGCGCGCTCAACAGAGGGATCTTGTTTAACAGGTAATCTCAGCATTAAGGAGAGAATCCGACCCCAAAGGATCTTTCCAGAATCAACGTGTTCCCAGTGTGTGATCTTCTACTCCAAGGCTACTTCAGGCCTTAAGGCCTGAAAACACAGTTTTCTCCAGAGAGCAGGAAGGATCTTTATTTCTGCAGGACTTGCACAGGAAGGAGAAGGTCTATTCTGTTGCTGAAGAGAGGGTTGCTGAAGATCCAGAAATGTAGCCAAAAAATGTACAATTTACACATGTTAAGTAGCCACACTTTCCCTGATCTCCTCAGGTCTGGACCCAAACAAGCAGTGTAGATGCAGGGCATCCCGGTGCGGCCACATCTCGTCATTGTGGCCTAGGAGTTAGGGTGTGTTAAGCAGCGTTTGTAACTTACTCCCAGTCTACACCTCAGTGCAGGCAGTGACTCTGCTTTGTTTCCTTTTGGACATAGGTTGGTGTTGTCACCAAAGAGTTCCTCGCTGTTGGAAACCCAACCTTTTTCTCTCAAAGCAGCTGTCAGTCGGTTGTTCTTTTAGTTAACAGGAAGACTTGTCTTGGTTGCCTTTGCCAAAAGTGGAGGAATCAAGGGACAAATTGTCCCTGAAAATTCAAGGTGTCTCAATCAGCCTTTCTTCAGGAGCTTCATACTCTGGGATTAATTGGAGGTTTTAAAGCCTATGTGAAAAAAGAGAGTTAAATCATGGTGTGCCCGGTGCGGTTTCAATGAATCACATCCCCAAAGAATTGCTGGTCGCGTTTGAACTCGGTTACCTTTGGTGGAGGTAGAGGTTTGCCTTTGGGAACTGGGAGATGAGCGGGTTTTCTCTCTGGTGCCTATAACAAAAATGCATTTTAAATATCATCAACCTTTCCTGTCTGAGCAGCTGCAGGACCTCCATGACCTCAGCTGCTGCTCTCTCATGTTTTTACTCCAACATTTTCCTAGGGGAAAAGCTAGGGATGGATTAAATTAATCTGTCCACATACAAGAGGGCACAATAATACAGATATATTATTTAAAATATAATACAGGAAGTATAGCTCTGCTGTTTCAGATGCCCATTCTCAATGCTTAAATTCATCTGTATCGAGCAACCATGCTCAAAGAGGCTGCTTAGGAAGCTAAAAATGATCACGTACTCAAGGTGTGTGTTGAGGAAAGCACCTGTTATGGCAGTGGGATTTAAGTGTGTTTTTATAATGATAAAAATATGGGACGTTTTAAATTATTATTTTTTTTATTTAATCCTGATGCATCATTCTCTATGCAGGCAGTACCATGCAGTTATGTTGCTAGGGTGAAGGTGATTTCTGCACCCTTGAATCAGGTGAGAAAGAGGGCTCAAAGGCTGAGATGGTAAATATTTGAGGGAGGCATTTTCACTGAAGTAGGATGCTTTGGGTTTTTTAATGGCAAATGTTTGTAGTTTTCTAGTTTGCAGATTTTTTAAAGAAATATGTGTGTGTATGTGTATGTGTGTATATATATATATATATATAAAATATATATTATATGTGCACATTGATGGAGATCCCCTCACAGGTGACATCTTTAGAGACTACCAGATCCCCACAGACATCTGCAGTAGCAAAGATGCTCATCATTTGCATTGTGTCTACACCTGAAAACCCTGTGGTGACTCCTACCCTAAAGAATGTGGTTTGAATGTCTGGTTTTGGTGGGTTTTTTTATTCATAGTCAGAAACTGAAAGTACTAGTTGGCATCATTTGCAACTCAGTTGAAAGCTGTGAGACATTGCAGGGTTATACTTACAAAAATCATTTCTGTGTGCGAAGAGGTTGGTTTGGCAGAAGGAACAGGAGGTGGGGGACCTTTGGGCCTTAAGGCAGGCTGTAAAAGAAGAGAATACAAAACATATTGACCCTATCTACGTGTTGTGTATGTGTGTGCATCTACATGTTCCCATGGGAACATGCAGGCTTGTTTTCTATATAGAATAATCATTAATAGTGGTAAATGTGTGTGTTTCAGAAGCAGGACTGGGATGCTTGGTGCCCCTGCGAGCACATACAGGGCTTTAACTGGAGGGCAGTGATTTCCCATTGCTCCACCATGGCATGAACTGGTGTGTGCTGCCTTCCCCAAAACCAAGGTGAAAGCAGAGAAATTCCCGAGCTGTACTCACGCTGTGGAGCTGTGGTTTGGTCTCCTGCAGTGGAGGGACAGGGAGGAGAAGCTTCTTATCATTCATCTGCAAACAGGGAGCAGTTAAATGGGCTGGAGAGTTATTATAAAGCATTTCATGCATGAGTTTGGATGTTTCACCCCTCATTTCCAGTCTGGGTAGACCAGAGCTGACCCCACGCCTCCCCACTCTCACCTTCTGGGCCGGTACCGCCAGGACCGGGTGTTCTCTGTGTCTTTGCTCTTGATCCACAAAGACTTGGTTTGTGGCTCCAGGTCCCCTTCTGGGCTGGCAGCTGTGCAAATATTACACAGAACTGTAAATCTTACCCTGGCTGGAGTAAAAACACTTGTGAAGTTGAATGCCTGCCTTACTCCTATTGCTGTGTTATAAAGCCATGTCCTTTCCTCTTTTCTTCCCTTCTCCTCCTTATTTTAATCATTTAGAATTAATCTCGAAAGCTACAATTTCAAGTCTTCAGTCTTCTCCCAACTATGGGGTTTCTGAAACAGCTCAAAGGGCATGGACCAACTTCAGTGACTTTCCAGTGCCTAATTCCCTCCACCCCCTTTGGAAATCCCAGTGTAAAACCTATCCAGAAGTTGCTTGGCTTTAGTTTGGAGGGGTTTTTTCCTCTCAATGGGGGTAAGTAAGCGTTTTACCTCTTCTTGAATACTCGGAAGCGGATAAGTAACACTGCTGCGGTCGCTGTGACAGCGAGGACAACCAAAACACCGGCGATGATGGCAAAGCCTGTTGGAGAGAGAACACAAATTGCTATTTCTTAAGAGATCCACCATTACTCAGCAGTTTCCCATCATGACCGCTGGCAAACTGATTTTTTTCACAAGTTCTAAACCCTATTTGTCCTTATTTACCGCTCAAGCTTATATCTTCTTTTTCTGCCACAAATGGCGATGGAAAGGATTGTATTCCTGCCATTTTAGCCATATTTGAAGACTGTGGTTATTTCCTGAGCTAAACCAACTTAGCCTTTTCCATCCATCCTCAAATATTCTTTCATTGCCATTCCTCTCCTCTTTCTCAAAAGATTTGACCCAAAACTAGGCCCAGGCCTTTGGCACTGTATACAAGTAAAGCTTCATGACTTTCCTCCAACAAACCCATTCTAAAGCCTCAACCAACGTTGAGAGCTGATGGTGCTTTAGGAAGTGTGGAGAGAGGACTAAAATATTTAATAACAAAGGCTTAAGGGTTTTTTTTCCTCCCCCAGACACATGGAAATCTGTACCCAGAGTGTTTTCCCTCAGCAGCAGATCAGTTAAAGGCCAGCTCCGTGCAGGAGATGAAGAAATGAACTTGCTCATCTCCTTCACAGCAAAACCTCTGGGAGCTGCCTCCACTCAGATTTGACAGTGGGGTAACATGATGTGTTCATTATCTCGAGATGGAGAAGGGAAAAGCCTGATACTCTAAATAATCTCTTGGGTATATCACTTGTGTCAGGTTAGAGAGGAAAAAATAGCTTGCTCTAGTCATTCCTAAAGGCTGCAGTGACTTGGAAATGCGCAGAATAGACCTGGATGTGCAATATTTGCAAAGAAAAGGGCAAGGCAAGGGGGGTCAGGCAGCTCAGTTCATCCGGTGGGTGGCAGCGCCCAGTGTGGCCATGCAGCACTTACTGGTGACGGCCGAGGAGCTGTCGCAGGTCGGTGGTGCCCATCCTTCCTCACACTGACACTGCAGCTCGTGGTCGCACACCTGGGGAAGCACAAAACCAGGGGTGGCTTCAGGTTGGGAACACAAATGAAGCTGTGGTGGCACCCCTGGGTCAGAGTTCTGCTGAGCTTAGGGCTGGTAAACCCCCCAGATTTCGCTTGGGCTAAGATTTGGCACAGGGGGGAGCAGTTTTGGGTGGTTTTTTTAAGTTAATAGCATGCAATGCTCATATCTTACAGCATGTCCAGTGCACTTGGCAGAGCAGTTGGTTGATCTAAAGACGTCTTCAGCATAGACGCATTCCCCTTTGCTGCACACCTGAAATGGATGGGGAAAACGGTACCAAAGTGATTCACAGCTTTCAGAACATGCAGAGCTTGCACGTCAAGGTGTAAAGTGATGAAGAGGCATGGAAACAGGTCTGCAAATCACTGACACCTACATTAGGAGTTTGACATGGGGATGTAATTCTTCATCTGACCTTTGGGTATTTTATGGCAAAGGGGAATGACAAAGATGTACAGACATCACTGCTTTCCTCTCCTCTGCAATCCCCCATCCTTCTCCACATACAGCAAAGAAATTGGCCATAGCACTCAGTGATGCCTAGCATATCCACTATGGAAATAATTAAAACCAGTAGTGTATGTATGACCTTTTAACCTACTAAAGGTGCATTTCTGTTGCCACGTGTATTTGCATCAGAGAAAAATAATAAGACAGCAGTTGAACATAAGGAAATTAAAGCAGTTCTTGTTTGCTTTGCGGGTGATTTGTGATAGATGTGAGGCAGAAGGTATGGCAAATTAGATCAGCATCTTTCCTGTTTGGTAAAAGAGCTAAAAATATAAGCAAGACTGAAAAAGGGCAAAAACAAGGAGAAAAGCTTTTCTCCACTAACCATCCCGCTCCCGCACTTGGTTCCATCGAGAATCATCCCCAGGTCTACTTCTTCATTCCTGGGAAAACTTGCTTTGCAGGACTCGAAAGTCACCAGGCTCCCGTCCCGAGGCATCTCCTTGCCCCCGGTGCAGAACAACTTCCCACATAGGACATCTCTGGAAGGAGAGCAAGAGCTGCTGGGACGACGACAGGGCACAGCAAAGCTATGGGAGCTCATAGCGACAAAGAGGAATTTGGGTTTGTGGTGTTTCCAGGTTGGTTTGTGAGCAGATGGTGGCAGGTCTTTAATTCCTCATGAGCATATTAAGAAGCCCACAGTAATTTGCAGAAATGATATTTACCTGACCTGGCCTTAACTTGTGAGGTTGACCTGAGGTTCAAGTTCCCTGTCCAAAAATCCCTTCCCCATATTTACCTGCACATACGTGCAGTCATCCTCGCAAGCAGGCTTACATGTATATATATGTATACACATATACTTGCTCTCTCTCAGACTGATCTCAAGATTTAGAAACTAATTTTCTTCACATTGTCTTTCCCACAATATTCAGACTGAACCAGAAGGGACATCCATGACATCTAGAATAGTGCGCTCTTAATTGGAATAGGAATGGCCTCACTTCCCAAATCCCAGCAAATTCTGTAACACAGTGCTTACTTTTTTTTACACGGGACGTGACTACCTTTTTCTTTTCTGCAGTAGCCGTAATATACCCCTTTCTCGTTCATCCGGTAACAGGAAGCTGCGCCTTCAGAAGCGTCTGTCAACAATCAAAATGCAATGGGATTAGTTGAGGTTCTCTGCCTGTGAAAAGCAATCATGTGAAATTTCCTTTATCTGTTTAGGGAATAGCTTTTCCCACTGAAGTTGCCCACTTGCCCAAATGACTCTCTGGCGCTTCATGCATTAATTCTGCAATTTTACAGTCCACGCATAGCAGAACCTGTCCTGTCTGTTCCCTCTGTCCAGTACAAACCAATAGAGCTTGCCTAGGAGAGATGACAAGGTCAGAACTGGAGGTGGTTTAGGACTGGGAAGAAGATAAGCCACCACACACCTTCAGAAACATAAAGGCTTGCTAAATTTGGACATTAATTTGAAATACAGATGTTTCCTCTTCCTACCAAGCAAAAACCACTCACCTAGCTCCACTCCAAAGTTATCTTAGATGCGTTGTGAGAAAGAGGAACACGCTTACCACTTCCTGTTTCTCTAGAAATGCATTGCGTTGTGTGCTCTGAGCATTATAAACACAGCGCAAATAATTAAGTTTAATAATTAAGTGTATGCTACAAACTAGAACTAATTATACAGGCGTGCTATTCCTGATTTACAAAAGGTCTTTGATGATTTGCTAGCAGAAAACACCTACATCTTTCTCCTTTGACCTAAGTAATATACGTAATGTAAGTTCTCAACGCCGACTTGGACTCACGTGGTCCGAACGCGGCTTTGCACTGGTTTTCGCGGGTGGGACAGTTGCCCATGTAGCAGTAACCCTCGCCGTAGTTGCAGGGGTGTCCGTTCACACGGAATCGATCCGCGGGGCAGTTGGCCGAAAAACCGGTGCACATCTCGGCCAGGTCGCAGTCGTGTTTAACCGCCCGGCAAACGGCTCCGGATTGCTTGTACTGAAGGGAGACAGCAACACCACGCTTCACACAGTGCTCTTTGCACCATGTAAAAATGACACTAAAATCAGGGTAGTTAAATCTCATCCTTGCTGTGCAGGATGTATGAGGGGGTCAGATCTGTATCTCGTTTAAAGTTGGTTACGTCCATTGAGAAGATTTTCATCTGGCTGTGCCTCGGCTCTTCTTTCCAGGAGAAAAATGTGTAATCAAAATGCTCCACAGATGGTGAAAGATTGAATGAATTGACAACTGTGTAGTTTGGGGTGGGCAAAGCGTGCTTGTTATTCCAGTGCCATGTCAGTAATTACAATTAAAGATGATTGCTGCTTTTGAAAGGTGCCTTACTGCTTTCTCATGGGGAAAAATAATATATCCTGGAAAATATGAGAAGGTAGGGAGTAAAAAGAGCCTTACCTGGCAGTTTTCACAGCACTCTCCGTGCGCACACATGGAGCCTGCCGTCAGCTTGCACGTCTCGGGGTCGCAGCAGTCGTTGGTGCACTCCTGGGACAGAGAATTGGCAATCAGAGCTGTGGGACCCTGCCTCAGGGTCGGTCCCCTCTGTATTGCAGTCTCACAACCCACCCTGTGCTTGGTGGTGGAGAGGGAAGGATATCTTGGACCTGATGATGGTGTTTGATGTGAAAGTGCTATGGAAATTGCTGATTTGTGCCGTGATTGCTCTGTGTCTATGGCTCTTCCCCACTCTCAGTTCCTCTGCGTGACAAACCCTGCAGTCATCTATCCCACAATTTCGTGTGCTTTAGAGAGGTGACTGCATTACAGATAAGCAATCTGATGACCACAGCTTCTACAGAAATATTTCAGCTAGCTTTGAACCAAAACTAGCAGAAACCGCCTACTCTTACAGCCCGAATAAAACCCTGTTCCTCTCTTTATTCCCCGTTACGCAGATACCTCGGGGGTGCCGCAGTCGCATTCCTCCTCTGTTTCCACAAAGCCGTTTCCGCAGGACGGAGGTGCAATGATGCTGCTTATGTCAGGGATGTTCGTTAAGCATTTCGGCATGTCACTCAGCATGAATTTCTCAAAACTTTGGAGGCTGCAGGAGCTGAATTTCTTGGGGATGATAGAGCTGTATTGAAAGAGCAGGAGGATTTATGTTAGGATCAGCATAGGCAAGGAGAAGCAATACCCTTTACAAGAGAAATGATCATTCTCCAAACTATTGGGTGCAATAATTTTTCCAAATACATACATTAATTAATATAATGGCTATCTCCTAATTATTATTATTTGGTTTAGGGGTTTTTTTTGAGGAGTATCTGTCTAGGAATATCTTAGTTTTCCTCTTCTTATTGTATACTTTGAATGGAATCATCTCAGGGGATAAAAGTAATGACGACTTTATTTTGGCAGCCTATCCAAAGCCCATTGTTAGCTGCCCCACACGTTAACACCCTCACCTTTTTATCCCAATTCCTACCTGACGGTGTCGGTCATGATGCAAACTTTGGCGTTGCAGGTGCAGGCGTTGGTGTCATGGCTCATCCCGAGGTTGTGGCCCATCTCGTGTGCCATGGTGGCTGCAACTGCAATTTCGTTTCTGTTGTGATCCTGTAGCGAGAAGAACGGGCTGTTATTTCTATGGGTATCTTAGAATAAGTGTGGGAGCATCAGAGAATGAACATGGCTAAGAAATAGGAGACTTTCTCTTCAAGTGACATTATCCTCACAGCTTTGTTGTTCAATCCGTGCATGCATCTATTCCACAGTTTATGCTGGATTATATTATAATAGCAACGAGATTATATCCCTAACGAATAGGAGTAAATTGGTATAATTAGTTTTTAAATAAACACGAGGAAGTTAGGCTGCCAAGTAAGAACTTGAACATCTGAAACTCTTAATGGTCTCTCTGGACGGCTGTCCCTGTGCTTAGGGTAATTACGTGGGTGTGATATAATTATTACTCATTCCACCAAGGTAACTACTGTTAGTTAGAAAGGAAAGGCAGATGCTGTGCTCCATTGTTGCTTTTAGCTTTGTGGGAGGGAGGAAAGGGAAATTCCATCTCTTTTGAGTGAAACTCAGATACATAAACCCCAGGTGGCAATGGGAATGCATAAAGCATGAGACACAGCTACTGGTTGTATTCTTCCAGCATGGTATTGCAAATCATGAATCCCTCCACCTCGAGAAGCATTCTGGTTTTACAGTCATCCTAGGGTTTCCTTATGGTGTGGGGAAGCTGGAATTTCATGGGGGTTATCCCTCTTTCCAACAAGCCCGACCTCTGAAGCCAGGTGCAATGGTTGAGTTCCCGGTGTTGTTGGTAAAGCTTTGGATCTGTGTTCCTGTTAGGCTGAATTTTAAGTATAGTATTTTTAGGCAGCTGTAATTAAGTGGCCAAATTGATGATACACAATAAGCCAATCAGAACCAATTCCCCGTTCAAAATGGAGAACCTTAAGGTAGAGGTTCACTTCTTTCTTTCCTTTAACTCTGTTGGAGCTGAATATTCCAAAAACAACGTCTGAGTTTGATGTTGGCATTGAGATAACACAGACACCATGCTTTGTGTGTGCTTCCTTTGCCCTCTGCACTTCATTTAAAATAAAACCTCTGCCTGTGAATTTCTACAGTCTGATAAAACAACGATGTGAACCAGACAGAGAACTGAAAGTGTGGAGCACCAAATCATTTTCATAAATGCTCTTTGCTGGTTGAGTAAAAAAAAAAACACCATAGAAAAGGCTTTAAAAAATAAAATAAATCAGACCTGAATAATACCTGCAGAATATGTATCACTGCAAATGGACTTTAGAAAGGCCAATCCAATCGTCGTCCCCTCAAAGTCGTAGCCTCTGTAAGGAAGGAGAAAGGCAGAGTGAAATGCCCTAACGAGAGCAGGAAGCAGCTCTGAAGTCGGCTTTAGCAGATCCTCATTTCCAGCTCTGCTTTGCATCTCTGATCTAATACGACAGCTGAGGACACGCTTAAGATCACTGCAAAGCAGCAAACAATTGAATGTGCTTTTCATTTTTGGTTTTTACTTAAATTAGGTGGCAGTTCATCAGACTTAAAGCATCTGTTTGAGCTTGATGAAGTGCTCTAGGTGCAGCAAAGTGCTCGGATGAATCCAGGCTATTGAATGTAAGCCAGGGCAGAGAAGTGAGCGCTGGTTTAGTTTGGCAACGTGCATTTCGCAGCTGCTAAACCTCATGTCATGGCTTTTTAGGTTGTTAGACCTGCAGTTTTGGGGACACTCAACTGTTCTGTGACCAGAGCATGGAAAAGCAGAGTCTGAGATGTACCAAGAGTCCACATTGCCTGTTTTTGCAGAGATTCGACTAAAAAGATTAGATACTATGACCCGACGGGTAATTGTGCCCCATGAAGAAAATAAAAGCAAGAAAAGAAAGCTTGCATTTATATTTCTGTTCTGTAATTTGTATAACCCAGTATTGGAGAGAATGAAATCCAGTAGAGACAGTGTCTCCGATGGGTTGGTGACTGATTTTTAAAGGACAAATTCCTTGAAGGTGTTTGGAAATGCAAACAGGAGACAGTGATACACACGTTATTAGCTGAGCGTTGTCGTTTCTCTTCCTCTTCAGTAAGTTTGAGAGACGCCACTTGGAGAAGCTGTCCAGGGTGAACCCCGCGGTGCGGCTCAGGAGGCATTTGTCACCGTCCGTCCAGATTTCCAGGCCAATTAACGCCACGTAGATGTTCAGGGCCTTGTAAACCTGTAGTAGAGAAACAGAGGTGCTATTTCAGTGTAAAACCATGTAAAAATGAAGTGTGCTATAAAGACCTCCAAAACGCTTCATTCTTTTCAAAGGATTTCAATCATTTAGCAACACGCATTAAGGAAATACGATATAAATCTTCCTTTATAAGAATCTCGTCTCTGAAGGCAAAGAACAGGATAATACGGACAGATGTGTTAAATTTGTTTCATAGATTTCAATGAAGTTCAGTTTTCATTCTTTCCTACATATACTAATGAAAATTTGTGACGTTTGCAGAGGAAAAAAGTTATAAATCACTTCTGTTTCAATTTGGCTTTGCTGTATTTGCTCTTACTGTGTTGATGTAGTTGACTATTCCGAATACCCGTTCTCTTACAGTTTCAACATCTTCCTCATACTTCTTGTACTGAAAAAGTAAATAGAGTATGTGAGGAAAAGGAGGGGAAAGAAGTGATTTATCAGAAAAGAAATATCCCCCAGAGGATTGTATTGCAAATGAAACCATGCCTGGTCTACTTGTATTATCTTTTCGATGTAGTATTTTATCAGACATTGTGTTTCAAGATGTGAATCTCTGCAGGGTGTGCAATAGGACAGGCAAATGAGGAAGAAATCCATTAATACTCACCAAAGTATTGTCTGCAACGATGTAAACTTCCAGATACTTCTTTGCTTTCAGGTACGCTTTCATCTAAAGGAAAAAATACATTTAAATGACTTCTAAGGCCTGTTTTAGTCTCAACCTTTGCAGTTTCAAAGCCATGCAGTGGTTACGAGGGTATTTCTTTAGCAAAGTCATTTAGAATGGGACTGCGTTGTTTTAAAACGATGAAAGGTGTGCTAGATATTAAAATGGTGATGAAGATGATGAAATGTAGGCTGGATATTCAGAAGTATTTAGGGGTTTAAAGATGCACATGGACACCTATTAGTACACGGAGGAGAGCTTAACTCAGGTGGTGGCTCTGAGATCTCAAATCTGTGAGATTTTCACTGGTTCTTCAAGATCTGGTTATGCTCCACTGGTTGCAATCGCTTATTTTCTGGAGATGGAACAAGTCAGAGTGGGACCTCAGCTACTCCTATGGCCATAATTTCTCTTCTGACAGTACTCACTGGTTTGTTCCCTAACCGTGTACTTACTTCTGGGCTGTTGCTGGATTTGAAGATCTCATTGATGGGGTCATTTGAATCCTCTTCCCAGGAGTTGTTGATCAGACCGCAGGTTTTTATGGACTTTTGCTCCAGTTTCTCGTACTTGTAGACCGCGTGCTCGTCTCTGTCTGAAGCTCCCAAGGGTTCGATGAGGTATTTCTGGCCACGGGTCTCAAAATATCCGCTAAGGAAATGAGTTAAACTGTGATATTTCGAATCCCCAGGACTGAATCAAGATAACGATGTTATCTCTAATAGCCATTGGTACCCATTGGGCACCAATCCTCTGTCTTACCTTAAACCTTTGCAAGCACTGATGCTTGCAGTGGAGTCAGCATCGTTCTGAATGTAACCTTCGTAATAACAGTGATCCTGTTCAGAATATAAAAAACATATTGTCAAATTGGGCCGTGTCTCATTGACTGCAATGAATTGGTCTAGATCCAGGGATTTTGGAGGACAAACTTCATAGAGTGACCCAAATTGTGACAAATCCAAGCATGGTGGGCTCTGGTCAATACATAACAGTGCCTGAAAATCAGAATATGCATCCTCAGAATGAAGCATATACTGATGTGCTCCGCTGAATTAAGGTCCATACTGAATGGTTTTATTGTGGCCAAATTTCAAGGAAACACCCTTTCATATTAACCCAACAATTAAATGCATTAACTTCAATGAGATTAAAATGCACGTATTATATTAAGACACATGATTAAGGGAAAAATTTTCATGGCTTAATTGACTTAAGGATCTGAGGTCTAATGAACACTTCTGTGTTCAAAGAGACTTCAAAGTCACTGAGGTATTGTGGAAAATGTTACCCGTAGCATTTTCCTTAATTGATTTCTTGAGAGAAACCTGTAACAGCATCCAAACCTGCATGCCCTGTGCTTTTTGTTTTCTCATGGATGTTTGGTTTCACTTCATTTATTTGTCTCCCGTCACAATGTGCCAATTTTCTTACAGTGAAAAAGACATCAACAAAGCGGAAATTACTGGAGAAAGAAGTGGAGAATTGATCCATCCTTTAAGGATACAGAAAAACCAGCTCCCGAGATCCTAATAAAGCATCCACAAGGGAGGAATTCCTTATTCAGCAAACTACCTAGGTTGGTCTGTTAGGGATTGCCTTTAACCACATGTAGGTGCTATTTGCTTTTCTCAGAGAGTGAAAGTAGTTGGAGCAATCAGAAATGGCATCTTTCTCCTCAAAAAAAAAACCCCAGCCCAGTATTCTTTATGCACATTTATTTCACTCATCATCCTGTTCCTGCTCATCGCTCCGTGACACAAAATATTAGGCTTTGTATTCCAAATTAAAAAGCACAAGGCATTGCATGGGACAGAAAGCTTCAGGTGCGAGCTTTGTTGAGGGTAAGACCTCATGGGTGCACAGTTAATTAAACAAATAACTTCTACAGTGACTTCCTTTGTGTCTGCATCTGAATAACTGATTTGTCATGGCTCAGAGAAGCCACCTGGGGAAACCTGTGCTGGGAGCATGGGCGGACACGTGAGGCAGTGAGGAAATGGGGCTTTATCAGCACCCAGAATCTCCCCGAGATGAGGGCGTGAAGGCACAGAATGGGCAAAGTCGGGAGGGCAAAGTCAGGAGGTAGAAAGCAGTGGAATGGCCCTGGATCCGCTCCCTTTGCTGATAAAAGAGATAAATTTGGCTTGGAAAATGGGTTCATCAGCCGCTAAGGTAAAAAGTGGTCAACTTTGTGAAAGCCAAACTGTGTCTGCTTCTCAACCTGTGTAAATCTCTGCCAAAATTACGAGTGACATTTTCCCTCTCCTTTTAGGGGCATCCTAAATTACAGTGCTTAGAACCTTGATTTAAAATACTTTATTTATCTGATAAGTGCTATTATTTCATGGACCCATACAGACCTCCTCAAGACTGCAAGTATGAAGGAAGGAAACCTTATTTTATTACCTTGATCTGAGGACTTGTTGTGATTTGTCGACCGTCATGGGAATAAACCGTTTCGGTGTAGTCTCTGGCTAACAGATCCCTGCAAGGAGTCAAAGTGCAATTCGAAATAGATGGTAGTCGTTTAGAAATGAGACAATTGCATAACGTGCAAAGTATGTGGGGAATTCAAATGATTACTCAGGTTATTATTAGTACTGAAAAACTCGGGAAGCAAAGCTGCTGGGTGGGGAATTCTGCCTCTTAGTAATCCGAACTCACACAAAAGAACATTTTTAAAATGAGAAAGCAATTAAAGCCTACTTATTTCATTGGTATAAACTAATCTCCTTGTAGATCTGAAAGTAAATGTATAATTACACATGCAGTATTGATCCTTTTTTGGGCTCTAATTTGTGTGGATGCTTCCATTGCTCCACAGTGTGTGAAATGGTCCCGCGCTGTTCTCATCCCAGTCCATCCCCACTGGTTATAAACACTAAAAATCCAGGTCCGTGGAGAAAATGCCTCGGTTGTTTCACGCGTGCATGCTCAGATTCTCTGCAGAGACCTCACTAACTTGTGTTTGTCCATTTATTTTTCTTTATATTCCTCTTTATAACTTCGCTAGTGCAAGTTCTCATCTTTGTAATTATTCTGCCTGAACTTGGTTTTCCTTTTCTGGCATTCACTCCTATTTGGGCAGCTACCCCGCACTGCCACAATCCCATTTCTTTTTATAAAGAGTGGGATTTAATACGATATAATTTCCTTCTCCCCCTCCAAATATTTAGATTAGATTAGAACAGGGTTACACAGTTAATTGCAGTCTATATTTAACATTAATGGATTACAGCACTATTGTGTTTACACAGCCATTTGAAAAGTAACTATTAAAGCAGCCTTGTTTGATCTGATGTTAAATACGGTGAAGCCAGCAAGCGGAACATCACAGCTGTGCTTTATTTTGTGGTGTTCTGTACAATTTTGGTCCTTTCCCTGTGTGCTTTGCTCTGTGACAAAGCCCACGGCTCCTCTGCACCCTCTGCATGGCCTGGTTAAATGCTGTCATTTAAATTTTGTTATTTCAATTTTGCCAATGCCAGTATGTATTGGGCTACTCCAAGTCCCAGCAGCACTAGTGGTAAAACAGGGAGTGCTGGAAGGTGAATTATTAAGGATTATTGCCTTTCTTACTGCTATTTTCCATTTCTGAAAGGCATAGGGAGCCAACACAGCCCCATTTCACAGAAAATTCTCTTGTTCTTCTGTACCAGCATAAAACAAATAACTGTAACTCACAGACTATCCATGGACATAGAAAACGTGTGAAATGATATGAAAACATTAAACATTTAGCGGATTTAGCCATTTAGGAGAGCAGAGTTAGCAGTATAAGCAAGTCACTCCATCATGGCAGTGCCTGTGTAGTTATTTCCTATTCCCAGTGCAGTGCCACGATGCTTCCTCTCCTTTTATTGAAGCTGAAAGTAGTGTTTCCCAAAACACCTCTGCCTTGCAGGAGCCTATGCCCTGTTTCTTTGCACCCCAAATGCCCTACAGAGCCATTCGCAGTGAGGAATAAAGCTCAAGGAAAGAGCTGAACTGAACTTACTTATTTTTTCGGAGGTGCAGAATGACTTCCTCTCCATTGGCTTTGATTCTGTACTCCATAGTGTCCTCGTATTTTGTCTGTAAACAGATTTAAGTGTGAGAATATGGACTGCTCCAACTTCTGGCCTTGCTATGAGCTGGCTGGTACCGAGGTGCCAGCTGCCTTCTTTTCTTCCTCTTCCCACCAAAAATAAGTATGCTGGCAGCCATAGGATAAGCAGGAGGTCATGCTGTTTCATATTTTTTAATTAGAGGAACTAATTTAACTTCGCAACTGCATTTCTACAGTCATAAGCACATATCCTGCATATTTGGAAAGTGCTGATGTGGATGCTTAGATCCGAACGCTTTCATAACACTCTAAGTATATAAGAGCGTGCTTGCTTTTAAGCATTTGATTTCATTTACTGCAAATTAAAACGTCCATGGGCTGTTAAAAATCTCGGTATCAAGCCCTACATCTTTACAGAGGTGTACAGAGGACCCACTGATGGTGTATAGGTGCCTGAGCACACCTCAAAACCCATCTTTACTAAACGTGGGATCCAGGTTTTCTCTTTCCTTTCCTTTTGCAAGATTGAGTGTCTGTAATTCTCTTGCCCTTGAAAACCAAGGGTATTCTGGCTCCAGAAAACCTTCCCCATCTCCCAGTAAAAGAGAAAAACAAGTTATCTCTTTGAATACCTCTTTGTTTCTTTCTACATCTCTTTTATGGACTGCGTGCAATTTCCGTGGATAAACTATCTCATATTGCTCAACTCCAGGTAATTTCTTGCTCCTGCTCCCTAGGGAGAAACACATGGATATTTATGAGGACACAGCATTAACTTACTAAACCCTGTATTTCATGTCTGATAGACTGATATTTTGGGGCTGTATGGTCAGTACAGTCACTCATCTGTTGCACCACTCATTTCTCATGTATTCTCTGTATTCACTGGCTCTGGTATGGGCTCATCTATGACCGGCTTTGTTGCAGTCTGCATTTCAGATGAGCTGACAAATGCACCTATTTCCAGGTCTTAAAATATTTTAAGCAATTCGCTTTGGATTTCTTTGCCCAGCACCAATCATTGGTTTCAAGCACCAACACGCCAGCCCAGCAATGCAAGCTGCAACCTTTGCCTTCACATCTTGCATGTAAGATGAATTAAGTTACACGGTTCTGTGGAATTAGCTGCCTCCAGACCTCATCACCTGACGACATACAAGTAAACACTGCTTCTAGATAAGCAAATAGACTCAGACAGTTCACCACAAGTCTGAACCAAGCTGATATTTGTCCTTTAGAAAGCTTTTCAGCTGCTTTTCTCATGTAAATACAGTGCTTTAATAGCCACACTCTTACTCAGATTGAGAGTGGCTACGTATCGTGACAGCAGAAGGTGAATTAATAGGAGACAGGCAGTAAAGCAGGAAAATCTTGAAGGTGGTAAGGAATCCAGATGATTCCTTAGCTCTCGTAACCCTTTTTACTGGTCTTACTGGTAAGGCATCATGTGTCTGGCCATGAAGACCTTGTTGAGGAAACGCAGTGGTGATGAAAGTGCTGCCCTTTGTTTTCTACCTCTGAGCCCGAGTGAACCTCCACAAACGCTGATTTGCGGCGTGACTTGCAGCGGGGGTCAGCACGCGTTGCATCATTTCAAGTTAATAATAGCGGCTGGTGCACAGCATTGGAGAGAACAGGGTCATGCAAGGGATGCGTTGGCTGCCAATGAGGCACCAGCAGGTTTTATTTGCCTCCTGAACTCTTTAATCTCCTTTAAATCTCCCATTTCACCTGAATGGGCAAATTCTTGAGGGCTCAGCACTAAGCACAAGAGTTTTTATTTGTAAAAAAAAAAAGAACCCCAAAACCCCTCAAACTACAAAAGGAGACTGCAGCTCCCATTTTAATTGCCTGCCTCAAGGCCAGATTTTTACAAGAGTGGGGCATTCAATTACTGTAATTCTCAGTATCTGGAAAAACGGAGCACATCCTCATGCAAATTGTTCCAGTAAAATAAACAGATTAATCCTTCATAACTGCTTCATTTGATTAAACCCTTTCCAAAAATACTTGCAGAATAAACTTGGTTGTATCTTAACAAAGCTGAGTGCTGCAGAGAAAAGCACTATGGCACAAGGGCAATAAGTCCTAAGAAGTTGTCTTACATCATGCGTACGGTATCTTACACACTGAGTACCGTTACACAGCACACGCTGCTGGCAAATACCAAGAGCAACTTTGTCGTTGTAGTTTACAATGATGTTTTCTATTTAATTTTTTAATTTTGTTTCCATTATCGCAGTAATCCGTGCTCAGTAAACAGAGCTCCGTGCTCCAGTTTCATCTGTCCACTCCCTGTTGCAAACTCCTTTTGCAAGGCCAGCTGTGGCCCAGATGGTTCGAGTTTAGGCTTGATTTGAATGGAGACTTAAAACTAAACTTGTCATTTTCCCGCAGTGCGATACAAACGGCATTTCGAGGAAAACAGGTTAGTTTTGTTTGGGAACAAATTGTTTCTTAGAGGTATTTTTTTTTTCATCGGCTCTGTATTGTCTTTGTCTTGCTTCAGGCATTGTCTTGAATCAATAGCTTTAAGGAGGAAAGGAATTCCTTGTACAACAGCTAGAAAAATTACTAATAAAGAATAAATAATTATGCACTTTTCTAAGAGAAAAACCATTAGTGAGGATTTCGTTGCCAATGAAGGTTTGGTTTTGTCAAGAAATAAAATATATAACGCCTTAAGCATCAGTAATGTACACATTTTGAGATACTCTGTGCAGCTCACGAAGTCATAAAGATACCTACCCGAATACAAACTGCATGTCTGATTGTGTGTATAAACCCTGTGCGTGCTTGTGCTTGCCAAGCGCCGGAAAAAAATCTGTTCCCTGTTGACACGAATGGAAAGAAACAATGCACGTGGAAAAAAAGGTGTGGGCTGTGAAGGTGAAGTCGTATGGGGATACTCATAACCTGAAGTATCACACAGGTAATAAGGGTGTGATTTTAATTTGGGTAATGTCATTAACTGAATTCAAATGAAAGTGTTTTCTTCTACAGCCACAATGCCGACAGTTTAGTAAGTTGTCCCAGTTGGATAAATTGGATATTTTCTTAAATGGCTCAGAAAACTAACAACTGGGTCTGGGTCTTTAGGCAATCTATGGGCAGTTTTCACACAGGTGAATAATTCTCAGACTAAGGAATTTTAGCTGACCGCCTTGAACTGAAAAAAAAGACCAAACATCCTGAACTTCAGCAATGCAGCTCCTTTCAGCGGCTTTAACTCACTGCTCTTCAGTATTATCTGCAAGTTAATAATTAAAAATTCATAAAGGCTGTACAAAGTTAGCCATAGCAACCCCTGATAACGGATTTTTTTTTTAAAAGAATAAAAAAAAAGCAGTACCTTGTTGGAGAAAATGCAGCACAACCACAGAAAGCAGAAGTACGTTCGTCATCCCAGTTGCGCTTGTCTAGCGGTGGTCTCTGGACTGGGAAGACTGGGTTCCCAGGCTGCTGTGAGCGCTCCTCTCCCGTGCAGTGAATGAGAGGGAGTGAGTGGTTGGGCTTTATTCTTGCTCCTATATGAGGAAGTGTTTACTAAAGGTGTTGCACAATTCTCAAGTCACAGACTGTTACAGCAAGCGGAAGTTCCTGCCGGTTAGTTCATGTCACACGAATTGTGATCTATTGATTACTTCTTGGGAGTAAGCTCTGTAGAGCTGTGCTTCGGGAAAAATTAATATCAAGAAATAAATAGGGGTTGATTGGAGTGGTCCTAATATTGTCTTTTTATAGTTTGGCTATGATAGGGCCAGTGATGAAGGAATGGGAAGGTTTTCAGGAGGTGCAGGGTAAAACAAGGGCTGGTGTTCAAGATGTGTTACACCTCTTGCTGGTTCCCATTTAATCTGCAGGGAAGGGACAGGCTTTGAGCACCAATAAAAGTCGGTGTAATTCTGTATCTGTGAATCATATCTGCAGTATAAACAGTGAGTAGGTCCTTTTCTGCATCTACATTAGTAATGTTTGCTGGAGGTTCGTGTGATAAATGTCTAAATAAAAGGGGATGCAGACCAGCGAGCAATCAAGCTGATACTCGTCAAATAATATTCTAAAAATCTTTGCTAGAAACACATTGACTTAGCCAGCTGTAGTAAAATAATACTGTGTGCTTCTTAGGGCCAGAGCTATCAATAGAGAGATGCTTTGTAGGTGTTTAACTTCTGATATGTTCCAATAGGTATTACAGAGTACACAGAACTAGAAAGGATTGTGCGGTATATTGCAGTATATTAATATAAAATTATATTAGCAATACACATTATACAGTAATACCCGTTTATTTATAATTTTATATATCTATCTCAATCTACAGGATAATTTTTACTGATGGTTTTGTTTCACAATGTTTTTGCAGGGGATATGGAGGTGTAAGATGCTCCTTCACAGCAGTAAGTGTAGACCAGACACTTCTGGCCTCCAAGCCTGCTCTGAGATGCGCTCATGCAAACACTGGAGACAGAGCTTAACTTCGGGAAGAAAAGTCCAATACTGCACCAAACCGTGTCACCATCCCAGGTTAGGAGAGAGCACTTTGGGCAAAGAATTCATGGAGCATCCTTGTGAGGGGTTGGATGTGCCCCTGCCAAGTGGGCATCGCAGTCGCAGCGAGCATCAGAGCGGGGCTGTGTGATTTAATTCACGTCGGTGTCTTTTTAGTGCTCTAAAGCTTAGTCTAAAAAGCAGACAATTTAGTAATTTAAGTGTTATGTGAATCGAAATAAGCGGTGCATTCTTGGACTGCATCTTTGCCTTACAAAAATAATTAAGAAAAATAACTGTGAAGAACTGGTTTTCAAAATGAGTGGCTGCTGTCCAAGCATTTATCTCAGCTCATTCTCCCTGCGTGACGCACTTGAAAACCGTGAACTGACCCCACCAACCTCCTAAGCTGATGTTCTTAATAAGCTGTGTTTTTGAGTGGTATATGAAGGAGAATTACTTTATGAACAGACACGACATCCCAACAAAGAGCTGGCATTGAGAGGGAAATGCGATGTGGCGAAGGTTTTGGGTAGACTTGAAAGGGAATTGGATGTAATTTGTTTTCGTGAGTTGAGAAGCATTTGATGATGATGTAGCTTCTTCCCCCGGAGGTGGTCAGAGAGGGGTCTGAGAGGTCTGAGCTGACGGGAAGGCGGCTTCTCAGTTTTGGAAACCCCTGAACAATTGTGCAATGTCTAAGCGAGCAGTTCACATATTTGTCGGAGGGGTAAAATTGGATGACGAGTTTGTCTCAAGGTTTATTAACCAGAATATTGGTATTTTTAACCCAAGTGCTATCTGCTTAATTAAATGAAGGATGCGGAAAAGGGTGAAATGCACACCTACACTAACCCTGCATAAATCCTGCCTAAAATGAGTATTAAAATTAAAATGTTAGGTGTATGCTGAGGCAGCAGGCTGGGCTTGGGAAGAATCGGTACCCGAATCACTTCTCTGCTGCTGCCTTGTCCTGACGTTCACTTTAAGCTGGGTTTGCAAGGGTATCAATGCAGCTAAGAGGAATTTCTGGGAGTGTTTAAACAATGTAGGTGCCTGTTCCCCCTGCACTTCAATAGGCACCTGCTCAGCCATAGCAATAAGGACACCCATAAAACTACTGCAGAGATAAGCAGTTGAGAGATCGTTTTGTTATCCCATGGATCTCCAATTGTTCCCTTCTTCTTTCCCCACTCTCACCCTGTGTCTGCACCAGCAAACAACCCAGCAGCCCTGTCTGGTGGCCCCGTGGCCACATCCTCTTCCTCCAGAGTCATGGTCAGGGTGACAATGTGGGATGTCACCAGCAGCTGCCACCAGGCCCGCGCTGGGTCTGCTCCTTCAGCTCCAGCACTGACCTGCCTTCGCCTTCCCCCAAGCATCAGCCCAAGCCAGCCTGCAGGTTGTTTTTCTCCACCATACAAACAAACCCATGTGGCTTTTGCATCGCCGTTCCAGCCCCGCGCTCCTGTTTGCTTCCTCCGTCCATTCCCAGCTGCATTCCAGTCTCCCCACAACCTGCCTCCCCGTGCCAGCCCCGGGCCCTTCCCCTCCATTTCCAGAGCTGATCCAAAACCCATTGCAGGCAACAGAAGACTTTCTATTGCCTTCCAGGGCCCTTGGATCAGCTCTGCAGTTCCTCTTTAAAACCTGCTCTTTGCATAAAGCTTTTTCTTGTGCTTGCCTCTGTTGTCTCACACATTCCCAAAGTGAATTATCCTTCCTTTTCCTCACCTACCACCCTTCAATGTTCTGTCCTTCTTGGTTTCTGTTGATGGCTATGATCTGAGGGCTGCTTTAGACCTATTTTGAAAAGTCATCTCCCTTCCAGCTCCCCAGCTTATGGGCGGCACGTGGCTGCGGTTGTATTGCCAGGTTTTAATGTAAAGTGAAATGCTTTCTTGTAAACTGTGATTGAAACTAAGTTAGTGAGCACCAGCTGAGTTGCTTTTGGTGTGACTCTCCTCAGATCACAGACTGTCATCTGATTCTGACTAATGAAACCTCATTACTGACTTTTTGCATCTCGGTCACCCTTTTTTGCCTTGGAGAAGATCATAGACATATACGGTATGTTACAAGTATATTACTTCCTTCTTTCCTTCCCTTTTTCTTCAAAATATAGAACAAAAAAATGGTTACTTCATCTGTCTTCATATCCTTCTTTGTTAGCCACATTTTGCTTAATTCTCCTGCACCAATCTAGTATATACAAGAGGAACCTAACGCAGTCTGTACGTAGTTAATTGAAGGTACAGGACCTTTTGGTGTATTTCTGGAGAGCACTAACTTCTCATAACTTCTTAAGTTGATTTTTTGAAGGTTAATGCTTCTCAGAAGATGCATTCAACCCCATTTCTGGCTGTGCCGTGTGTTGTGCAATTGTGTGCACACGTACAAGGTGTTTAATGTTCCCCATCTGTACAGCACAGGTGACAATGCAGATCATTGTGAATTAATTGTGGTCTTGGTTCTTTTTTTTTTTTTTTTCTCTTTTAAGTTGTTGCTTATTGTGTTGTCGGTATTTGTAGTACGTGAGGTCTGGCTTGATTTTGCTAAGGGGAATCCTGCGTGCCACGACGTGGTTTCCAGCACAATTCCCTGCTGGCTGGCACCCATCCTGGGCTCAAGGAGGGCAATGAGTGCCTCAATTCTCGAAGCTGGGTTTTGGGAGGCTGTGAGTAGACCCTACTAAGCTGTGCAATGCAATGTATGTGGATGACAAAGAATGAATCCACACCTTGGACCTTCATGAACCTCACCTCTGCCCATCATCCTCTTCCTTCTTCACCCCAGCATTGCCTATGGAAGGTCCTGCACCTGCCTGCCCTGCCACAATCAGCCCTTTCAGCTCCGCTCCTTGCCCTCATGGGGAATTTGGAGAGAGCTGGCAAGACAAGAGGCTTTTTGCTGGCAAACAAGAAAGGGGAAGCAGAAGTATTTTACCTGGATGACCTGTCGTGGTGTCTCCAGTCTGGTGGACTCCGATTGCTTCCCACACACATAGAGTACATAGAGAACACATTCTTGAGTCACCGTAGCCCTGCGCTTGAGGCAAGAGCATGAACAAAGAAACAACTGTCCAACCCCAGCTACCTCTGCAGCAGGAGATTTTTCCTGGCGTAAGAAACTTGATGTGGTTACGGACAAAGAGCTCCCAGTGTGGACAGGGCCATCCAGCAGCCAAGCTGTGCTAGAGACCTGCAGAGTAAAGGTGACTTCTCCTTGTGTAGAACAAGCCCTATGGGTACTATTGTGTCTACATCAGGGTGTCATGGTGAGCATAGAGGTATTTCCTTTACCCCTATTGACATCCTTATGTGATACAGGCTGAATACTACAAATACCCTGGGCTTTCACAGCAATTGCTTTATATCAGAAGATATATATCGGAATACATTATATCAGAAGGTATCAAAATACATTATATAAAAAGATATAGAGCAGTCAAAAATCAAACACACTAATGACACCTCCAAAATTATGCAGGGCCTCATGATCTCAGCACCATACCATACATGTGTACCCACTTCACCCAAATGCAGGGCAGCCGGAGCCATTTCCCAACCCACTTAATGCAAACAAAAAGGAGGGATGTGTGGAAATAAGCGCAGTATCCTCTGCAGCAAACCGCACCGGCGTGTTTTATTGCACAGGGAGAGACACCGCGACCTGCAGTGAGCAAACACACGCTTTCACACGGAGATGAACGCATGAGGCAGCTGAGGAGAGGGTGAGTTGCAGGTTTACTCCTTACCGTACCTTGCAACAGCTTAGTCATACGTGCATGCTTTTAAGACCACTGAGTAGGGAGGATGGGGAGAAGGAGTTGCATGCCATCTTCTGCTGACTTCCTCATGGAAATGCTTGCTGTGATGAAAGTATCCCAAAGTTATGTTTGCTTTTTGTTAAC